GTTGACAAATACACCTGGTCCCCCACTTTCCACTGCTCCTCGGGGAGCCTCCTGCGGGCCGCGTGGTTCTTGTAGTCGGCTTTGGCTCTTTGCAATGCCGCGTGCGCCGCTCACCGGGTCTCGTCGATTTGGGCGAACCAGGCGTCCAGGGAGTTGATCTGGGATTCCGGCTGAGGCAACTCCGCCATGGGGACGAAGTCTCTCCCGGTGGCTACTTTGAATGGAGAGAACCCGGTACTCTTGTGGACAGCGTTGTTGTATGCCACTTCCGCGAATGGTAGTAGCTCCGCCCAATCGTCCTGTTGGTGCCCCACGTAGCAGCGCAGGTACTGTTCGAGCCCCCCGTTCAGGCGTTCTGTGGCTCCGTCCGTCTGTGGGTGCGCCGCGGAGGAAAGGGCTTGCTTCATCCCCACCCACTTCAGGAACTCCCTCCAGAACCGCGCTATGAAGTTGCCGCCCCAATCGCTGACGACCCGTCAGGGCGTGCTGTGCAGCTGGTAAACATGCTGCATGAACAGCCTCGCAAACCTCTCCGCCGTGGGGACTCGCCGGCATGCTACAAAGTGTGCTTGTTTGGAGAATAAGTCCGTGACCACCCAAATGGCGGTCTTCCCCTTACTCTCCGGGAGCTCTACTATGAAGTCCATGGCGATCTCTTGCCATGGGCCGTCGGGGTCCGCTACTGACTGGAGTAACCCCCTAGGCTTGCCTTTAGCCCCTTTTGCCGTCGCGCACACCGGGCAACCCCCCGAGTATGCCTTCACGTCCTTCCAGAGCGTTGGCCACCAGAACTGCCGCCGGATTAAGTGGAGCATCTTCACGAAGCCGTAGTGCCCCGCGTTCCGGCTGTCGTGGGCTCTTTCCATGACCCCGCGTCGGCACCCCTCGGGCACGTACAACTTCCCTTCGTGCCACCACAAACCCTCTTGGCTGGTTAGCACTTCTCGGTTTTGCTTGAGCCAAGCGTCCCATTCCGCCGCCTCTGCAAACCCTTGCTTTATCTCGGTCGCCGCGTCCCGTCGCTCCCCCTTGGTCTGGCTCCGGGTCACCGCCTTTGCAGCCAGCCTGCTGGCGGGGATGATGGAGTCCACGATCTCCTCTCGTAGGCTGGTATGCTGGGGCATGCGAGACAACC